GGGGGTTGGGGGGTCGGCGTGGAGACCATGTGTCTGATTAGTCTCATGTGTCTGATTAGTCTAAGCAACATTCCAAGGGCGAAATCGATAGTGGCACAGATCGATGAACTCTCTGCTCAGAATACCAACCAGCGTCTGTGGCATATTTATGAGACACCCTCGTTGTTGTTCCTAGAAGAAGTGAGTTCCACTCCCACAAGGGGACGGCTAGTGCATCGAGTCTATTCGTCTTTCTGCTGGGGTTTGGTCCTGACTCCTGACAGGTCGAAGTAGCACGATTCCTGAAAGATCTAAGATGTTTTAATGAGGCCATAACTCATGTTCAATCATTGCAAACATAATCATGATGCCTTCAGCAGAAACACATTAGATATAGATATGTTACTGAATTAGGCCTATTCCTAGTGTTTTTCCTTTTGTTGAATTGTTCCTATCTCTAGGTGATCTAGATCTATGTGTGTTGCTTGCTTTCGTGGTATTTTTTCCCTCGTTCCTTCCAAATAACCAATGTCGAGTTTGTACAAACCTCGTCAGCTATTCTAATCCGGGACTCGTGTCATTAAGTTCTCAGTTCTCCCCCCCCCCTCTCTCTCTCTCTCTCTCTCTCTCTCTCTCTCTCTCTCTGATCCGTCTCGAAAATGCCGGCATTAACACACTTATTCTCTGCATTATATAGAGAGATGTGACCAGGTAGAGAATTTGGACGTGAGAACCAAACTGGTTCGAAGCCAAACACATTCATATTAGTTTCATTTGGAGCCTGATCGATACTGGTCGTAACAACACGAATAGCGACTGGTGCGTGACCAATATCCACAGGCTAGCTTGTACATAAAGTTGTTTTTGTTGTTGTTGTTTGTTTGTCTGTTTGTTTTGTGAGTGTTTTTGTTGTTGTTTTTTTATTGTTTGTTTGATTGTTTGTTTATTTCGTTTTGTTGATTTTTGTTGTTGTTGTTTATTTTTGTTTTGTTTTGTTTTTTGTTTCAGAACTGAGTAGATATCTAGTACTGCTTTATCGTGACGACGAGATCTAGATCTAGTAGAGATATTCAACTACACGTTTGTTTGTCATGAAATAATCTTAGGCCAATACGTTGGTCGTTATGCATACAACTTTAAGACGAATTCATCTGTTTTATTGTGTTTGGGCGTCGTGTCTACAATGTACTTCATGCAAGGAGTTTAAAACAAACTGTAACCTCCTTAACTTCATGTCAAAGAAAATATAATTCTGCAACGATACCGCAGTTAATGCCACCAGAGAGTTTTCCTACTAACTTTCAACTTTTCTTTTTTACTATAACATCTTGTTACTTTGATTGGTGAGCATGTCACTTTATAAACAAATTCCCCTGTCGCATTGTGAATATTGAGTACGCTGTCCCTTATACATGCTGAAAAAAAAGAAAAATTCAACAGAAGATAACAATTACCCACTGTAATATATGTTTAACATTGTGGTCAAATCCCGTGCTCGTCAAAATAATGAAATTGAAAAAAAAAATTGGTGTGTGTGTGTGTGTGTGTGTGTGTGTG